GGGCCTGGCGCGGCTGCCCCGCATGGAGCCCAGGGCCGGCACCCGGATCCGCTTCACGGAGCTGCCGAAGCAGCCGTACCCCGAGGGTGCCACCCCGGCCGAGGTGACCAGGCACAGCATGGACCTCAGCTACGCGCTGGAGCAGGTGCTGACCCAGCGGTACGCCAGCCAGCCTCTGGATCTGCTGGGTGAGTAGCACAGAATCACAGAATTGTTGAGGCTGGAAAAGCCCTCTGAGACCATCAAGTCCAGCCTGTGACCCAGCACCCCCACGTGGGCCAGACCACGGCACATCCAGCCTCTCCTTAAACGCCCCCAGGGACGGTGAATCCCCCCAGCCCTGGGCAGTGCATCCCAGTGCCTGAGCACCCTCTCCGTGAGGAAGGGCTGCCTGAGATCCAAGCTGACCATAAACAAGCACGGCTCACCTGAGTGAGCTCTCGGGTGCTTTGGGAGTATAGAGGCATTTTTCTGTAAAACTAGGGTCCTGGGAATGAAACCTGCACCCGTTCTGTGGGCCCTTTGTCTGGCACCCTGAGGCATCGCAGGGCAGGAGTTTGTGGAGTTTTTAGCAGCTCAAGGGTCAGTTCCAGTTGCAGAAGGGTGAGGATGTGATGCTTGATGTCTAGGGCTGCCAGCCTCACACATTTGCCTCTCTCACTCCTGGATGCTGCACTCAGAGCCCAGAATGCCTCAAATTAAGAGCAGCAATCGCAGGTGGCCACGAGCTCCGTGTCACGCAGAGGAGCCCTGTTGTCTTGCCGCCAGCCTGGCAATTAGCTTGTTAGTGAACCTCTTGGGGACAGACCTCATGGAGTCCTAGGCGCCCTGAACGGGGCTGAACGTGGTAATTTTCCAATTCTTATTCCCCGTGTGGGTGGTGAGGTGGTACTGGCTCTCCCAGCCCCAGTCCTCTCCCTGGTGGGAGGGGTGGCAGATGTGCTGCGAGCAGCTGGCGACTCTCCGTGGCGGCATTTGGGGTTTGCCGGTGACATCCACAGCCAGGGCTGCTCACAGCTCCCACTCACAGGGTCTCTCGATGATTTGCCAGCCTTTTTCGACAGCTTGTGATAAGAATAAATAAATATCAGATCCGTGGAGGTCCTGGAGAGTGTTTTTGTTTTGTGGCAGGATGGAGGGAGGGCTCGGGAACCCTGCTGAGCTGGAGCCTTGAGGCTACTAAGTTTGGAGTAAGCCTTTGGTTTTCCCTTCTTCCATTTTTTTCTGTTAGCGTTATACGATTTATTCTTTATCAAGATTATCAAAAACATCTCTAGGATATACAAAGAATTAATTACCTAAGGACACGGTGACACCGTTCTTCTGGCAAAATAGCTGGTGCTAAGCATCCAGGGAGACAAGCCCTGGTTTGTAATTCAGCGAGGCAAAAACATCAGTTCGTGGACCCCTCACCTCTCCCAGCGTTCCCACAGCCCCTGAATTGAAGGGCAGTAGCATTTGCACTCCTGTGTGGCTCTGGAAGCCGGGGCACAGTGGGACTGAGTTCTTGCAGAGTGACAATAACGTCTGGCTCCGTACCTGGGTGTCATTTAGAGTACATGGGTGCCAGTGGAAGCCCTCGGGTGGCTGTTTACTCTGGCAGTAAAGTCACCCTCCAGAGGTGCTAGTTACAGTTCAGGCAGATCTGCCCAGCGATGCTTTGCTTTTTCTCCAGCAGAAGAGCAAACCATTAGGAAATAGTCCGTGTTTGGAGTATCGATTGCTATTAGCAGAATCGCTGGAAGGGCAGAATGCACATGCAAAAAGGCAAACCCAGGGGTTTACGCAATCATTTGCAGAGTTTTTGAGAGGACACGTACCTTGGACACCTTTTTAGTCTTGGATGTGTTTTGTTTTGTTTTCCTTTGTTGAATATACACAGCTGAGTTGCAGTTTGCTTTCATCTGCTTCCTGATCGGGAACGTCTACGATGCATTCGAGCACTGGAAAAGACTCTTAAACATCCTGTGCCGGTCAGAAGATGCCATGGGGAAGTATCAAGACCTTTACGTCAATCTGATCTCTGTGCTGTATCACCAGCTCAGTGAAATCCCAGCTGATTTTTTTGTGGACATCGTCTCCCAGGACAATTTTTTAACCAGCACCTTACAGGTATGTTTGCGGCGACCTCTGGAAAAATGGAGGGGGAGGAGAAAGGTTGTGGGACATCAGAGCAAATTCAGGGAGAGGCTGCAGAAGGAATTAAGCTACTGTTGAGCTGCGTGGGAGATAGTGAGCCTATCTGAGCACACACGTGTTTTCTTTTACATGTTTTGCACGTTTTCTTTTCCCCTGTGTTATTTACAAAGGGATGCCATTGGCTTGCCATCTCAAGAGTTTGATCTGCTCAAGCTATGCCTAGAAGTGTCTAATGCAGTATAAAAGTGAGTTTATCCACGTGCAGAGAGGTCAGGTTTTGGAGTTCTGGGGTGGCGTATCTAAAGTGGCTGGACTGTACCTGCCTACTTTTTCTAAACATTTTTAAGGCCTTTGACCACATTGAGCTGAGCACCTATGAGAGAAGCTGAGCAAAAGCAAGATGATGTCTGTTTGTTCATTTTTTTTTCCCAAACGCCATTCATTCTTTAAAAAAAACCCCAAACAAAACCCACACCACCAAAACCTTGGCATAAAAGATTGATGATGCTGATTTTTTGCTCGGCTTGAATGTACGCAGAGAGGTTGCAGCAAAAGCTTATTGAGCTTAGGGCACTGATAGTATTTAAGAAGCTTTTCCATTCCTATTAGCCTTAAACAAAGCCGAAGATTTCCTGTAATCGTGGTGGCTTTTTTCCATCCCATTACAGGACTGGAAAACTCAGCTCTGCTTTTGCAGTGCGTGCGCAGAGCAACGGTTCGCACTGTGAATTTCCAGTAGTACCAAGAATGTGTCAACCAGCCGTTCTTTCCGTCTGATGGGAATTTTGGAAGCGCCCTGTCTTGATGGTTATTTTTCTTTTTCGGATTGCTGAGTCTTGCACTCCCTTGGATTTCATCAGTCTGGTTTGGTTTGTGTCTTTTTTTACAGAAGCAGTGGAAGGTGATGCCTTTAGGTGGCTGTGCTGACTTCAGCAATCCCTGCTAAGCCCGAGTCACCACATTCCTATTAACAAAGAAGACATTTGCCTTATGGTTGAACTAAGCCTCTCCTTCCTAAAAAATTCTCCATTTCTCTGTTCCTGTGGGATTTCCCCTGATGAAATAGCGCCGGGGAACCTCTGGGACTTGAATTACCCAGTTACTTTACACGGAGCTAACAGTCTTAACTGGGTGTGGGCAGGTGCAACACGGTGGTGGTGGGGGAGTGTATTATCTGCGTTAGCTCTTGCTCAGCTTTATTTTTGGAGCTTGATCTACGGTGAGAAGAGCACAGCGTAACCTCCGCTGAATAGGCAGCCCTAACAGTGTTTAAATAAAAAAAAATATTGCAGAAGTAACTAATTCAATGTGCGGTTCATTGAGGAGAAGTGGGAAGCGTAATCCTTTAATTTTTTATTTTTTTTCTAATAGCAGCCTTGCTGTGTAAGAGGAGGTCTGTTATAAAAGAGGCAGTTTCACGGTAGAACGAGCAAGGAAAAGGCAAATGATCATAAACAAAGCAACGAACCTTGCTGCTCATTGTCAGTGTTTTGTGCAGCTGTCAGTAGGTCTCTCCCAAATAAGAGCCTGCTTTTTCCCCAGAGGGCTTTCCCCTCGCTTCCATCGTGCAATGATTTTTTTTAATTTTTTTTGGCTGTGAAATACAAGTTTCTTTCTGTGGAAATTAATTCTGGATCACGAGTTCAGAAGAGGAGCAGAGGCAGGCTGGTGAGAGATGGGCTCTGAGGTGAAATGCCCTGTTTAATCGTACACAGGTGTTTTAATTCTCAAAGTACCACCAAACGCTGTGAATTTGTGAGCAGTTTAGAGATTTTTGTGTGTTCCAGTGGTGCAGGGGAGCCACCCGTACAGGTTAGTCCAGATTTCAGTGCCCTGTGCTCAAGAGAATGGCTGTGCTGGGGATAACTGGATTTTTTCCGGAGAACTCCTGTTACCTTCAAAATAATCACTAAATTTCCCCTATATCCTGGTGATTCCATATTACAGAAATACTTTGGAGGATCTCCTGGTCCATCCAACCATGGTGGGTAAAGTTACCTGTTGGCTTTTTTGACATGTGCTGTAGCAAGCAAAAACTGATAGTCCTCTTCTTTTTTTTCTTTTTTTTCTTTCTGCTTGGACATTTCTTTGCTCACAGTGTACTTCAGAACTGCGTAGTACACCCTGAATTACTTACATCCTCCTGCCTGAAACAAAGTTTTACTCCCTTAGTGCAAATATCGCTAAGCCTGGCTCAGTGGGATGAAGGCAGGATGTCCAGGGTGGGAGCCTTTGTTTAGGTAGCCCGAAAGCTGGCGTGGTTGCCAGACTGGTAGATCCCTTACCTGTGGCCTAACCTGAATCTTTTGCTGGTGCAACCCTGTTGATTCCGATCTTTTTAGGATCGAGATGCACAGCTTGTGCCGTGGCTGAGTTCTTCCTGACCTCTACTCTGTTGTTTTAGGTGTTTTTTTCCTGCACATGCAGTGCAGCTGTGGATGGGACCCTAAGGAGAAAGGCTGAAAAATTCAAGGCTCACCTAACGAAGAAATTTAAGTGGGACTTCGAGGCAGAGCCTGATGACTGCGCTCCCGTAGTGGTAGAACTTCCTGAGGGCGTGCAGGTGGAGTAAGCGAAACACTCGCTTGGAAACAAAGGACTTTTAAAAATAACTCTTTCTCCACACCTTCTCCAACCTTGAGAGCTTCCTAAAGTCTGTTGATGGAGTTGACCTCTCTTTCTGCTGTAGAAGCAGAAAATCCAGAAGGATTCCTAACTTTGTGAGGAAAAATAGAAATACTGGAGGAGTTTAAGTATTGTCACGTGGCTGCTTTGGACACCTTATGTTTTTCTGTGGCTGTTCTGCAGCATCAACTCATTCTCTGCTCAGCTGACCTCTAGATCCCTGGTCCCTTCTGTCCTCCTGGGCTGGAGGTAACACTGTGTTTGGACCTCTGTGGTTTACCCCCAAAGCCTTGGATGCCTCCTGAGCGAGGAGCGTAAGCCCGCGTGGATGGTTCCTGCAGTTTTTGAGAGCCTGAACCCAGGCTGTGAACTGAGTTCTGCTCTTCCTAGGTTTGCATTACACGGATGTGACCACAACTGTTTCAAAACTCTGTTGGATGCTCGTGCTGAGGTATTTTATTCCTCTCATTCTGTTAAAGTCTTTTGTATTAACTGCTGATGCTCTGTTTAGCCTGATGTAAAAGAAAGTTAACAGTTTGGTACCAAGAAATGGAGTTGTTGGACAGTAGTCACCCAGCTCTTGAAGGAGAGATAAAAGGTCAGACTCCCACATGAACTGGATCTTCTGTTTTGTTGTAATTGGAAACTCTACATATTTTCTCTGGTGACAATCTCTTCTTTCTGCCCATTTCCCACAGGTAGTCTATCCAAAAACTCAAGGTGCTCGGTCAGAGCTTCACAAGGGCTGCGTCCTACCGGTCACGTGTTACTTAGGCTCCTTCAGGAATTTGTCTGTATGCATGTCTAATGAGATAATGCTGCTTGTTAAGTCTTTTATAGTTCAAAATAAATCTCCAGAGAGCCCTCCTACAGAAAAGGTCTGTACGAATGGTCTTTTAGTTATTTAGCCAAAGCTTATGGGTACGGCGCCAGCGCCCACTTGTTCTCATCGGGGTGCCCAGAAGTAACTTCATGACAGTACCTGCGACATCCAAAGACAACTAGAGGAACGGTGCGTGGCATGGCAGAAGGCCAAGGCTCTGCGAAGAAGGTACGTGATGAGGTGTTTCCAGGTAATCGGGAACTGACCGCAGGAATCAGCTGCCGGATGCTCTCATCTACCGCTTGGTGCCGTTTCCTCCCTTGCCTCAAGGGCTCTGCACTCCGTTACCCTGGTGTCTTGCTTTGTCCATTTTAGAGGGACTCCCTATTGACCGCAGGCCCTTAGGGGAGGTTACTCCAATTTGGCAAATGTTTGGTCCTTAAATCTTTCTTTCCACGCTTTCTAGTCCTTAACACCCTTGAGATCTTCTCTACAGTAGTTTATGCTCTGCTCTCGTTGTCTTGCTCTTTGTACCCACGGGCAGTGCTGTCATTCCAGTTGCCAGCTGGACAAATCGTTTGATAACGAATGGTCCCAGCTTGGCAAAAGATGCCCTCTGCTCTCGTTGTCTTGCTCGTTGTACCCACAGGCAGTGCTGTTGGCAGTTGCCAACTAGACAAATCATTTTATAACGAATGGTCCCAGCTTGGCAAAAGATGCCTTTTTGATCTGTTGGCTATCGACACCAACCTGGTGCCCAGTGCTGTTGCTGTGGAGCAAAACACCGGTCGCTGATGGGAGTAGCAGAGGTAGCACAGAGCCTGGGGACCTGCCTGTCGGGAAGGGAGAGGGCAGCTTCGCAGCCTGTTCTGGCAATGCCCCGCCTTGTTCGAGGGATACGTTCGTTTGAGCGTGTTTGTGGTAAATCTCAAAAGCAGTAACTTCCAAAGCATTAGGATCCCATGAACTACACTTTTAGCAACCGAGAGAAGAGAATATAATTGTACTTCTATAGTTTTGCAGGGTTTTAATAGAGTTAGTATCTCTTTGTTAGACCCACAAAACAGGCAGAGAAGCAGCAGCCCGTTGCGGGGGCTGTCCCTTCCTTAGGGCGACTGTCCCTTCCTTAGGGGGGCTGTCCCTTCCTTAGGTAGGAAACAGAAGCGCCGAACTTTTGGCTGAACATGGGTGGAGATGTGGGGAATTCAACTCCACTCTGTGGCTCAGCTGCACACTTTGAGGGGAAAGGGAGGCTGGTTATGAACTTAGAAGGGAAAAGAGTGCTGTTATTCCTCTTGAAGGCAGCAGGAACGAGGATGTAAAAGGGAAGTGGTAATGTGTAATAGAAGGAATATTTTCCTGCCCTTATATAGCCTTAGGCTGGCTATGGCTGGGATAACACACCTCTTCTTCCAGCTAAGATGAATATAATGATCTGAAAGCACCAGGGAGATTGTGTGTGTGTGTGTAAATCCGCGTTCCTGCAAGCTGACGAAGTGTACTGTGGGCTGGGTTTGCAGCACCGATTCAGCAAAGAATTAGGGTCAGGACTTCCGCACGTTGTGAAGTGGCACTGGAGCATGAGGTGCATGGGCCTCCCGCTTACGTGGAGAGTTGTCTGGCTGCCAGAGTTGTGCGAGTGAGGCAGATTGGCCTCGTTCTTGTCCCGTGACACGCGTTGTCACTGCAGGTTGTGTTGGAGCGTGAGCCCTGCTCAGCCTTAGGCGAGGCTCATCACTTGTGAATCTGCAGTGGCATGAGCTGACCGCTGAGTACCCCGAAAGGACGCAGGGTAATGTCAGCCAAACCAGAATTTTTACTCAGTGGTATTTATCCTGTGCGGGGCCTCTGTGTTGTCCTGCAGCGCAGAGAAGAGAGTTGCTTCTTGTTTCAGCAGCCCTGCAAGTTCAAAGATGTAGAACGTGCTGCCCAATTACCCTTATTTTCCTAGTACAGAAATAAGAAATCATAGTATTCATCTGGCATTTGTGCCTCTTAAGATCTAAGAGAAATGTGACATTTTTCAGGATCTCATAGACGTACACCGCCTTTGTTTCGAGCAACGTTTATTTCTGCTACTGCTTTGACAGCTGGACATGCCCCATGCCAGCTGCTGCGTGCCCCATGCAGGCTGCGGCAGATGGAGCGGCTGCCACTGAGCTCCTGGAATATGGAAAAAGATGAAATGGAACATCTTGATTCCTTTCTCTGAAAAAGGAAATAATGTTCCCCTGATGCTGCTGCTCATTGTCTAGTGAAGCTATGCCAGTGGCATGTTCCACAGCCCCGTTACTATAAAAGGGCTGGGAATGGTCATTCCTTCCTGGTGCGGTCAGCCCCTTCTGCTCCCTCCCCAAGAACGTGTATCTCCCGTCCCGCTGCTGGGCAGAGCAGTCCCACGGAGGCAAGTATCAAACCTCAGAGCAAGTGTCACAAAACCCCAGAGCGGAGCCGGAGCGCGGGTGGGAGGGTGCCCCATGAAGCACGGCTTGTGCTGGAGCCTGTAATTAAAGCGCAGGAGGTTCTGCAGGGGCCTCATTAAGAGAGCGTAAACGAGCTGCGAGGCAGCCCTAATACAAATAAACCAACTCCAAATGGGCTAGTCGATAAGAGGAAAAATCCATACGCATGGAGCATCAGAGCTGCTGCTTTCGGTGTGTTGGTCCTGCCAGCTGCCCCCCTGCCTCGGTGGGTCTCGCTTTGGGGGGCTTCGTGCTTCCGTCGAGAAGGAATCATAGAAACGGGGCGTGCAGCTGCAGCCCAGGCGGCGATGTGCCCGCTCTGCACCGTGCCCGCTTCCAGCAAAGGTGATCTCCTGCTTCAGTGGCTCTTGTTTGCCTCGGCTTGAGGGGCTCTCTGGATTCGAAACAAAAATCGTGCTTGTGCTCGTTGTGGCACAGTTGCAAGCCAAGGTAGCCCCTGCCAGGTCTCACGTTGGGGCAGGCAAGAAGTGAGAGGGAGAAGGAAGGGACGAGGGAGTTAATTTCTCATCTCACGCAGTTGTCCTGGCGAGAGCTGTGTCTACACAGCTCTTGATCCCTGTCCTGCATGGGCTCAAACAAGGTGCTTCGCTCAAGTGCAGAGAAATTTCCCAGACTGCAGATCACTTGAATATTTTCCCCTCTGTGAGCGCGTTTGCAGCTCAGTCGCTGTCTTAAAGTTGCCATGCAAGGCTGACTCAGTGAGAGGTCTCTAAAAATGATGTCTCTTCCCACCAGTTGTTAAATAATTCGGGACGTTCACTGATATTTGGAAAGCAAGCGCGGGGAAAAATGCAGGCAGTGAGTGGGCAGGGAGCAGAAAGGAGAGCAGCTCCGTGCTGGCTGCTGGAGCCACTCAAAACCCCTGCTGGAGGTCAGGGCCCAGATCTGATTTGTTTCACAAGAAGCTGATTTTTTTAAAAGCAAAAGTTGCTTCTTTTCGCTGTGCCCGCATTCGTTAGGATGAGAGGGCAGCATAAAGGTCATTAGTATGGTTTTGATCCATTACAGTAAATTTAAACCCTAATACAGATTGCAAGTTTCAAGGTATTGCTAAAAATAATAATAAAAGGGAATGCTCATTGTTTTATATTTAAAAATCCCTGATTTCTCCCTCAGCTGGGGAGCAGCTGGAAGTGTGAGGAGGAGCAGATGGCATCTGGGAGCTACCAGGGAGCTACTGAGGTCTGGAAAGGAGGGACACCGAGGATGTTATTATTGGAAAAGCTAGGTGTGGAACAGCCATTCCTTCTGAGCTGAAGTAGGCACGGGTTTGTCCTCACCTTGGAGGTACCAGATGTCATGTGAAATAAGAGCTGTTTCTTTTCCCTAGACAGAATTTGGGATTTTTCTTGCGCCTGAGTGAGAGGTGGCCATGTCTGTTGGGAAAGGGTCTCCAAGGGATGCAAATTAAGAATCTGACCCGTTTCATCCTGTGAGTTTTATGTGTCTGTTTTCTTTTGACTTTTAATGAAGCTGTCTTTGTTTAAACAGTGGGAGTTCCTGTTAAGTTGTTATTGTTTTTCAGGAGCCTATGCTGGGTATCCCAAGCTAATTCTGTAGCTGTGAGCTTAGCAGTGGCCTTCTCCTTCTTGCAACGTAAGCTCATAATTTTGCTGAACTGGTAAGAAGCTTGTGAGTTAA